TTTTTCTTATTACATGAATCATATACTTAACCACAATGTGGTGGATTATATCAAAATCATCACCACCCTGAATATAGAACACTTGTGGTTGCCAATTAATGAAACTGATATACATTTAGCTTGATGGGTAACAGTGATTTAACCAATAAGCCTTAGCATACTTCACTGCTACAGACTCCTTTATAATTAGACTTTTGGTCTGATTATTATCACGACGTTTTCCTCTAATCTCCCATTGGTTGTCAGTACGATACTGACATTAAGTCTGTTTGTCTGACAATTGCAAATATCACTACTTTTAATCAAGCAGTGTATCACAGACTGCTTTTCTAATCTCAGAAATAACTTTCAATTTTATTTTCTGACGATGTTTATTTAACCAGACAGTGTCTGAGGCTGCAACAGGCTGAGCACTGCCTTTATTCAAATTGAACTGAGGGGTCTCAGTCCCTTACAAAGGAGCTGAGTACCTTTTATGATCAAATTCTAAGTGCATAATAAATATGTAAAAAAGCAAAGTTTCCTTCCATGACTAATCACTAAACTTTAAATAATATTTATATTAATATTCTGTTTTAATATTGACAGGGGTGTCTTAATGACTTGATGAAATAAAGAGCCCGGAGAACATCTTTATTATAAATAGAATGTTTATATCTGACTCACACAAACAATGAGCACTATTATACATGACACAGTGAGCTATTACAAAATCATAGCTGAAATATATATTACTACGCAAAAACTTTTGCATCATTTCATGCACAGAAAGCACCAAATATCTCCTAAATAAAGCAGCACTTTTGATATTAGGAATTCAAAATGCAATCCAAATCCTTACTTAATTCATTAAGAGTATCTTTTATTGCCAAATGCTACCTAATTATCAGCTTTAAAAATATGGTTTATATCTTAAAATACAATATTCTGTTTATCCTAGATTGTCTGGGGAACATCTAGTACATTAAAAGGTTTTTGTAGAGCTTCTTAGTGATTTAACTGATATCATCATGCCTGCTAGCAATTTTGCAACATTCTGAAAACACTTT